CACACACACACACACACACACACACACACACACACACACACGACTGACATTATGCTGTGACAATACACTATCTCTTGTCAGACTCTCTCCTGTGAGAAGAGTACTGTCCTCCTATTTCAGACTTGAAGGAAACTAAGGCTCAAGTATAAAAAGGGCTGGAGATGCGGCTCCACAGGTAAACACCGCGGGCTCACTGCCTGGTGCCAAAGCAAAACCCAAAGCCCTGAGGCCCAGCTGGTGAGGGAGAGGACCCGACTGGAATCAGGTGACTGTGACTCCAAAGCCCCTTCAAAGCCAGCTTCCAGCCTCCACCCCGGGGCCTCCTTGGGGGAGCTGTGTCCTCCTCTTACATCCAGCACCTGAGGCCCAGAGAGGCACTTGCAGACGCTGTGGCCAAGATGCCGCGTGTGGACTGGAGAACATTCTGGCCTTAGGAATGGACGCTGAACAAAGGACATCTCCTGCCTCCTTCTGGGGCTTGGGGGGTCCCCACTCCTGGCATGAGCAGAGGGTTTTGGCCCTCCTGGGCCGCACTGTGGTAGAGTGGGTGGAGCAGGGGACTGGCTCAGGCCGCCCGGGGTCCATTCCCGGGATGTGGCCCTGGACATACCTTTACTTCTCTGAGCCTCGGTCTCTTCATACGTGAAGTGGGAACAGCAATCCCTACCTCAGATGGGTGTGGGAGGTCAGAGAAGGCGGAGGGAGCCCCTGGACACAAAGGGATCCATGCTGGGTCCCTCCCTGTGTGGGGTCAAGGAAGGCAGCAGACAGGAGACCGCTTCTTGACTGAGCTCACCCAGGTCACTGGCTGCAGGATGTGGCTCAGTGGTAACCAACTCCCCACCCCCCAGTTAGTAACCAACAGTGTGGCTGGGCTGGGGTGTCCCAACCCCGGAGAGAGGCTTCCCCCCGCTGCCACAGGAGGGCGGGCAGAAGTGGCCAGGAGGCAGCAGTGCAGACGATTCACGAGGACGGCAGTGGGCATTCTCCACGGGTGGAGTCACCACCTCCCACTCCCCAGGGCAGCAGCGGGCAGTGGCAGGACTCAGGGCTGGGTCACAGGCTGCTGTAAGGCCCCAGCCTGGTTCAGGGCTTGCCCCTCCCATCCTGGGCGCTGGGCTGCGTCTTGGGCAGCCTGGTGATCCCCATTTGAGACGCAGCTCAGAGGAAGAGCCAGGGAAGCCAAGCAGCTCCCGCTTGTCCACGAGGTGCCCCAGTGCCACTTATTCTCCCCAGGACCTCACTAGCACTGACTCACCAGCCCCAGCTGGTGCTCAGGGGACACAAAAGTCTAGTCAGACTTTGGAGTCAAATATGTGAGCTCTGACACCTGCCCCTGCCTAGTGACTTTGGCTCTCTGAGCCTCCGTTTTCCTCCTCTGTAAAATGGTGACATCAGTCCCTGTCTTTTCTGCGTGACACAGGTGCGTGCATTCGGCAGCAGGTTCACATTCTACTGCTGCGGAGTTGAGCCTCAGAATGCCAAAGTAAGGCGACAGGTCCCACAACCTGCAGGTGGGACTGGGACGGCAGTATCTGAACCTCATCTGAGGCTTCCTGCCCTCCTGTTGTTGTGGAGTGACCAGTGTGGCCCCTGGCGTCCAAAGGGCTGCCAGGAGGTGGCTGGAGAGGCGAGGCTCCTTGGAACAGGAGTGGCCCAGATTTCCTGTGGAGCCGCAGCCCCCAGCCCTGGCAGGACTCAGGGTCACCCTGCAGCTGGTGTTCCAGGCAGTGAGGAGGAACACTGGAAGCCCTGCTTGCCAAGGGCATCCTGCCCGCTAAGGACGTGGCCCGGCATTGTTTCGAGGCCCTCCCAGCCCCGGGCGCACGGAAGGATTTCCGCAGCCCGCCAGGACTGCCTTCACTTTCTGGAAGAGCTTTCCCAGGTGGCCAGGCTGGGGGTGGAGCTGGCCTAGACTCAGACCCTTTGCCGGGGCAGGGAGTGCTGGGAAGGGCAGGGTCACAGCACCAACATCCTCTCCCCCTGACAGGTCCTGGACCCAGAGTCTACCCTGCACAGAGACAGTGTCCCCCACGCTCGCCTCTCCTGCGTAGGGGAGAGAGGGTGATGTCTTATTGTCGTTTTTACTGTGGCCGAAGTCAGGGCCCTTGGGTTCAGATTCTAGCCCTATAGGAAGGTGCTGAATTGGCAGGTCCCCCTTCCCTGTGCCTTCAGGGGGAGGCTGGATAGCCCCTCGGGTTCCTTCACACTGCCCAGAGAACAGCTGGGGATCTACCTGCTGCCCCTTCTTGCTCTGGGGTCTGTAAAGCTTAAATTCCTTGCAGGGGCTGGGGACAAAGCTCAGTTGGCAGAGTGCCTGCCTGGCATGCACAAGGCCCTGGGGCCAATCCCCAGCACCACACACACACACACACACACACACACACACACACACTCCTTGCAGACAGATTCCGGTGTTTGGCACATTTTAGAAGGACCGTGTCAGTGCCCACCGTACATTCTAATGCTTCCAAGAGGTGCTCAGCTCGTGGAACGTATCTTGGCCACTTCATGGCTGTCCCTCTGTGAGCCAGGAGGTGTCTGTCCTGCTTGGCAGGGAGTCTCGAGGTTGAGAGGAGCCTGAGCCCTTGTCCCCTCCCCAAGCTCCTCAACCTGGTGGCTAAAGGCTCTCTCTGCTCCAGCCTGTGGCTGTACTGCCCACCTGTTCCACGGCTGACACACGGAGGGCCACTGGGGGCTGCCCACGCAGAGCCAGCGGCATCCCTGGTGAGGTCAGAGCTTTGGAATTAGTGAGACAGGATCACCCTGAGGATTCTGTGCTCACAGCCAGTGACTCATGGCCAACGGCCTCCCGGGCAGAGACTGCCAACTTGGAATGCCCAGCCATGGCCGCAGGCTCAGTTCGCTTGGCCAAGCACCTTCTGAGGGACGGCTGGGGTGGCAGAGGCCCTGCCTTTGGCTCCAAGCCTCTGACAGCTCTTCACACCCACCTAGGGGGAGAGGCCAGACTCCCACCTGGGTTCCTATTAGGCAAGGTCACATTTTAGATGTGACCTTGGGCAAGTCAATTTCTCTGAAGGTTTCTCCACTAAATAATACTTGCCTCATAAGAGTGGAATTGAATGAGGTAATGTGTGTAGCAAGCGCTCAGCCAAAGGCACCTTTTAAGGAACAGCGGGTGCAGTGGAAGGGCTGGGCCCCGCTCTGGCCCCACCCCTCACCCATGAATGTCCTCTTGCTCAACCCCTGCCCGCTCTGGCCTATTGTGTGAAATGAGCGACACTGCCCGCCCTGTTGGCTCACCAGGAGGTGGAGATCTTGTACTTTATTACAGAGGACTAAGGAGGGCAGTGCCCTGGCCTGGGGGCCAGCCAGCCACTCACAGGCCTTATGACCTGGGACATGCTCTGTAACCTCTTAGCAGGTCTCCTGTGGAATGTGGGAACAAGACCCTAATGTTCTCTGGGTGGGGCAGCTTTGAGGGAACAGGCCTGTGCGTTGATGGGTCTTGAACCTGAGGACTTTAAAGCCACATTCCTCATCAGCCGGCCCCTCTCCTGCTCTGCTTCGGCCTTCCCGAGGCAGCCCCTGGGTGGTCCTGTCTCTTGGGAGTGCTTTGTTCAGAGAGGGTCTTGTTACCTAAGCCAGGGAAGCAGGACCACTACAGAATCTCAGGGTACTACGGCAATCCCGCTACTGCAGCCCCCAGAACTGCTAGGCCTGCAGGTACGCCATCACATCTGGTTCTAGAAAACAGCTGTGCCACCAAGAACGCACAACCAGTGGACACTCATCCTGGGCCAGGGGCAGGGTGTCAGGACACTCCTGACACCTATCACTGAAGACCTGCAGGGAGCTGGCACCTCTTCTAGGCAATGGGACCAGGTGGCAGGCTGGCTCTAGTAGGGAGGCAGAGCCCAGGTAGCTGCTATGGCCAGGAGGAGCCGAATCGGGAGTGAAGTCTGGTGCAGGGCTTGATTTCCTGTGGGAACACACGGGAGGGAGGCTGAGCCTCTCAAGGTTGAGAATCTGTAGGAGCAGCCAGGAGCCAGCAGGTGTGGGAGGTCTCGCTGGATTCCCAGAGTTCAGGTTTCAGAGGCATCTATGCCTGGATGGAAATCCTGGTCTGCAGCCCATGAACCCAGTCCTAGTCTGGGTCACAGAGGCAACACCTTGGGCCTTTGGAAAGGTAGGAGTGTGACGATGTCTCCAGGACAGAGAGTACCAGTATTTGGAGGGACTGGTCAGAGCACAGGGTAGTGGAGAGTCAGAGGAGCAAACAGGGACAGAGATTGAGCCTGGATCCCAACTGCTCACAGCCCAGACAGAATGGAAGCTGCCCTCAGTGCAAACCCTGGTTTTATTGGTCTGATTTGTTCACAGTGCAGCCTTCTGCTGAGAGCCAGGGGCTGTGGACAGTGAGGGAGGGTGCACCTGGAGCCTTCCGGTCAAGGGCCTCCAGGGCTCCTGCAGCCAGTGCCCTGGTGCCTGGGAGGGAAGGATGGGAGAAGGTCGGCTCTCTGGGAGGCAGGGACAGGGTGGCTGCGGGGTTCAGTGTGGGGCCCAGGGTCTGTTCTTCCCAGCAGGAGGTAGAAGGGACCACATAAAGTTCTTTATTACAGACCTACAAGAAATGAGAGAACCCTCTATCACTCCCACTGCTCGGCTCCTTGTTTTCTCCTTTTTCTTTTACAAAACAGCGGCAGGAAAGAAAAATGCAGGAGGCAGATGAGATGGGGGTGCAGATCAGAGGGACCAAGGCGATGGGGACCAGCTGCCGCCTGGACAGTCCTCTGCAGGCTGGCCCCGGGCGTTCTCCAGCATCTCGGGACAACAGCAACTGGCCCTAGAGGGAGCAGAGAGGAGGAGTGGGTGGGAACACGAGGTCCCCTCCCCTGACGGTCACCGCTCCTCCGACGGTCACCCTGGCAGTGGGTAGGTGGGCAGCATTGGTGACTCCGTGTCTGGAGGCTGGTTTCCAAAGCAGGGGCCCATGGGGTGGGCACAGGGGGGCGGGGGGGAGGGCTGCGTTCTCCTGGGCTCCCCCAGGACAGGCGTCCAGGCGGGCAAGGGTGCTCAGGACGCTTCCCTGCTCGTCAGCCGATCAGCTTCTTGAGGAAGGCCTCCAGCTGGTCCTCATCTTTGATGCCTACAAACTTGTCCACCACATCCCCATTCTTGATGGCCAGCACAGTAGGCACAGCTGACACCTGGACGGAGGTGACAAGGGAATCCAAGTCACTTGGAAGTGAACACCTCTCAGCAGACATTCCGAAGCCTCTGGGGGGGGGGCTGGGGGCTTAATGGGGCAGTATCTGCCCAAAGGACAGTGGCCTTCCCTGGTACAGAAGACTGCAGGGCTGGAGGCCCGCCGCTGGAGCAGCTGCTTCCACTGCAGCCTGCGGGCAGTTCCCTTCCTACCCGGCCGCACCACTGACTCCCTAGCCCAGTGGCTTGGCAGGAAAGGCAGGAGATGAAAATAGCCCGTGCAGCTGCAGGCCGGGCTGGGGAGGAGCTGGGGCTTCTAGCTAGGCCATGTGCCTGTCTGGGCCTCTCAGTCCTCCTCCGCCTCCCCGGGATGACAGAGCCCACCTTGAGGGTTTGGGAAAGGGCTGGGACTCACATAGCAAGCTGGTGGCTGGGGTCCTGGCTCTGGGCGGACTGGCTCAGCTCCCCTGACCCCAGTGGAAGACCCTGGCTGTCCCCTGATTACCCAAGGCTCAGGGCTTTCTGGAGCAAGGGGACACTGCCACACCTCCTGCAGAGCACAGGAAGGCTGCATGAAATGCTGCCAGTCAAGCCTCAGTGCTAACCTGGAGATGGGTGGGCACTGGCACGGCACCTGGCACAGCGGGCACTCAACCAGCGGCCACAGAAGGCGTGTCAGAGGAGCCCCTCTCAGGGCCCCACGAGAGCTACCACGGCCCGCTGCTTAGAAGAGTAACGGGCTTTGGAAACCCACAGCTCCGGCTGGACGGCATGGGTGGTGGCGAGGGACAGCCATGTCCGACCTGACACCTCTTCACAGGGAAGGGAGGGAGCACGAGCTGTGGCTCCCTCAGGGCGGGGTAGGGCACAGGACTGCAGTGAGCCAACCCGCACTGGCACCCTCGCCCTGCTGCCTGGGCGCCCTGCCTGGCACTCACAGGCATTTGAGAAAACTATAAACAGAACAAGACAAATACAGGCTTCCCTCACACACCAGTAACTGCAGAGTAACAGGAGCTATCCACACAAACCTACCAGGTATCCCCACAGCCTGAGCGCTGCCCTGGCCCAAGTCACTCGGGAGGCCAGACCTAGGATTCAGTGTGCAAAACCCGTGCCGCGTGGGCTGCGAATGTGCAGGCCAGACCTGCCCATCCTCAGGCCCCATCCTCACCTCACATGCCTACAAAAAGGCTCCACATTCACTCTCAAGAGCACTTTGGGGACAAACAGCAGGTAAGATGACACTGTCCCTGTGACTGAGGTGGGTGGCAGCCGACACTTCTCAAAGAGCATGTGCCACCACAGGCACTGAGCTGACATGAGTGTACCTGTTCTCAGCTCCCCGCTGCCTCTGTCTGTGCATATTCTGGCACGGGTGACAGCATTAAGGGCCGAAAACTGAGCACATGGCTCACCCTGGCCAGGTCCAGGTCAGCACGCTCCAGACACAGCACAGGCGCTGTGCGCCCCCTGGTGGCCAGCTGAGGACCTGGGGTGCCTCAGGCAGGCAGCCAACTGTGGCACAGGGCTCCAACACGGCTTTCATCTTCACACTTGGTGGACACCATCCTGTGCTCTCTCTTTAACGAAAATACATCCTTCATGCCACTGTTTAAGATATGGCCTTTGGCTGAGGATGTGCTCAGTGGCAGAGCACCTGCCTTGCACGTGTAGGCCCTGGGTTCCAGGGTTCCACCCACAGGACTGAAAACACAAAACAAAAAGGGTAGGACTTAAGCCCACAGAGGTGGCTGGAGAGTGTACCCGGCTGTCCTGGAAAGGTCCCTTCATGGCCTCGCAGGTGTGTGCCTTCAGGTGTGCAAGCCCCACGCTGGCACTGGGTGTGCAGCACACAGGCTGGGGGTGCACTTTCATGTCACTAAGGTCTAGTCCCTGCTGACCAAGGGGAGGCTCTGAATTGGAGCTTAAACATTCACACACACCGGGGCTCACAGGAAGCTGGCTTCCAGACACCACGGGGTCCCTGGGCTGAAACAGGAGGTCACGGCTTTGCTGCTCCCAGGGAATATGCCAGCAGTGGACAGGGCCGGGCTTGGTGCTCCCTCTGGAATACTGACAGGAACGGGAGGGATGGAGCCAGGACCCAACCTGCTTCTCTACTGTGGCAGGGCCAAGGGGGCTGGAGAGAGATGAGCCGGGCTGAGCTGTGGTCCTCGGACTGTGAAGCTACCTGGAGCCTCCTCTCTTTGAAGCACTCAGAGTGGGAAGGTGCATGTGTGTGGTCCCTCTCCACAGATCCCTAGCCCACCCGCAAGGCCACTGTGGCTCAAAGTCCACCAGATCTTCGCCCGATTCACCCAACTCATCCATTTGGTAACCACCTTCGCTAAGGGTATACCAAAGGACTGGCATAGTGCTAGGTGTCCTTGGATGCTGGTGGCCTCCTCCTCCGCTAACAGCAGAACTAACACAAAAGAAAATCTCACTGTCATATGCAGGGATGCTGGGCACGTACATGGCTACTTTATAAATTACTGCCTCTAGGTAGGGCCATTATTTATATACATACAGATGTGTATGTGTATGTTTTGTTTTGTTTTGTAGAGCTGAGGACTGAACCCACGGCCCCATACACACAGGCAAGTATCCTACGGCTGAGCTACACCCTCAGCCCTAGTAGGGTCATTCAGGGACGAGAAGACTGAGGCTGGAAGGCAGAGTGACTGCTCTGAGATGGCACAGCAAGTGAAGGGAAAGGGCTGGCATTTGAAACGGGCTCTGCTTGACTCTGCTGCCCATAACATCAAATCTGCTCTACTGCCACCAAACAGCAAAGAACCAGGACAAATACTGCATCCCCGCAGTATGAAGACCACAGGAAGAAGCGTTCACAGATTTCATGCCTCCAATAAGAAATGCCAATGGGCTGGGTGGTGGCTCAGCGGTAGAGTGCCGCCTAGCATGTGCGGGGCCCTGGGTTCGATCCTCAGCACCACATATGAATAGACACAATAAAGGCATTGTGTCTGACTACAACTAAAAAATAAATATTGAAACAAAAAGAAAAGAAATGCCAAATGTTTTATAAAAGCTTTTTGAGATAAGAGACACTTTTTCTTAGAAAAAGTGTGGGAGGCCAATCTTACGGGTGACTGAATTACACTCCCCAGCTGGGTGCTGAGGCGCTCAGTCCACAGAAATGGGTGTGTCTTGCTACAGCCACATGGGTGAAGCTATGCTCACCTGTTCCTTTGTAATAGAACCCCTTGCCCTTCCATGGAAGTGCCTTGTGTGTCCCCTCCTCTTACTGTTCCCTTGAGTGTGGCCTACCCAGGTGTCAGTCAACTTGCTGACAGTGGACATCATGAAGATAGACTCAGCCCCCTGAAACCTGACCCCTTGCCTCATTTGAATAGCTTCTCCTCAATAAAAGGGGTCAGCACGTGCTCTCTCTCTCTTTCTGCAGACCCTTAAGGTCAGAGGAGCTGTCACAGCAACCTCAAAGAAAAAGGTATTTGTGTCTCTTGTGTGGTTATTTCGTGCAGCCCAGTTAGCCCAGTTTAACTAGAGTGACCCCTGAGCCTTTTCAGATGCGAGAACAGAAACCTGGCAAAAAAGTGTTGTTGAAAAGGCAAATCCAACTAAATTACATCCTGGGAAAGGCAACACCGTGGAGATGGTAAGATCCATGGCAGCCAGTGCTGGGGGCACGAGGGACGAAAAGGGCAGCACAGATTTTTGAAAATGATCTGTGCGATACCACGACAGTAGGTACACATTATCAGACATCTGTCCAAATTTACAGAATGAACCACACCAAGAGTGAGCCCTACTGAGCACCCTGGACTTGGGGTGATGATGGCGTGTGAGGGCAGGTCCAGCACTCTGGTGGGGGATGCCAACAGTGGATGATCACACAGATCTATTCCCCCCTGAACCAGGGCTTGAAGCCAGGGCCTCGCGCACTCTGGGCAGTGCTCTTCACAGAGCCACACTCCCAGCACCCAGTGTCCCTTACAGCAGTCTTCCCAACAAACTCATCCAACATTTGGAAAAGGGCTTGAGGCCCTGGAGGAAACTGTGCCAGGAGTACTGCGGAGCTCTTAGCAGGAACCTGCACCTTGTGTGATCCTAGAACAGGTGTGAGGGAAGGGTGGGAGGGGTGGGGGAATTCTGCTGGCGTTTCCTAAGCCTTATAGTGATGCAAGTCCAGGGCTTGGCAAAACAGCAAGTGACGTGGGCCCGGCTGCCCTGAGGTCTTTCTGTGTGTCCAGCCCAGCACTTGGACAGTGGGCAGAGGGAAAGGGAGACCTAGCCCCACCAGAGGAACCCCTCATCTTCCAGGCTTGACTGCAGGACATTAGCACCTGTTCCCACATCAGGTCTCCTGGAACCAGGTCAGGGTGGTCCTGGCCATTCTCACCACCTGGGGTCCCACTGCTGGCAGAAGTGGGCTCTCCCTCGCCTAGGTACCAGTTCCCACTGTCCCTGGCACACAGCTGGCCCTCAGGGGTCTACTGAAGAGCCTGCTGAGGCTGGAGCTGTGGTGTCCAGTGCGCCAGGAGGAAGCCTGGACGTCTTGGTCCTGCCCACAGCCCTGCAGGAGGCCCCAGGAGCTCAGCCTCAAGCTGAATCAGAAGGTCACAAACTGACCCCTACAGCTGTGGTGGCTCTGGGGACAGGGTGGACAAGTAGGGGAAAGCCAGGGGTGTCCAAAGGGTCAGACAAAGGTCCCATTTGGTTGAGCAACCAGGGAGAGCCTTTGAAAAAACAGCCTTTTCTCCCTCCCCTAGACCTCGTCCGCAGCGCTGTTGCCAGGTCCCAAGGTCAGCCTTGCAAGTAGCCAGCTGTGGCTGCCATGAGGCTTCTGGCAGGGCCAGCCTCAACTCCTTTGGGTGGCTGCCCCTATCTGCCCAGCCAGGGACAGTGTCCCGGTTCTCACCCTGTCCCACCCCCACATGTGTCCTCCCACGGGGCGTGGTGGAGGACGAGCACCTCTGCTTTGGCTGGTCCTATGGGAGCTGAGGCTGGGTTTTGGACTCTGGTAAGAGGCCCCTTGTCCAGCCACCTGTTCCTCAGAGGAGGAAGGGCGGGGAGGCTCCTGCTGGCCAGATCATGTCTTTCAAGAAAACCAGGAATGGGGATATTCGTGTGAACACCTCTGAATTTTAAATATCAACCACTGGCTTCCTATTTCTTTAGAACACTTTAGGAACCAGACCAAATGTGTCTGTGAGCCAGAGGTGGCCCTGAGTTCGCCAGGTGCCACCTTGCCTCTTTAACAGGCCATCGTCAGCAGGCTGTCCAAAGACCACCCCCTCAATTTGGTTTGTCAATTGCCTGTCCTCCTGCTCCTTGCTTGACCCTTCACCGCGGCCACTCAGCCTCAGAGAACCTCGCTCTTTCTCTAGCCACGGAGGTCTCCAAGGCCCAGAGGATGCCCTACCTCCCTGGGTTCTCCCCGTGGCCTGTGAGCAACTCAGGGCCTTTGAGTTTGATGTCTGCTCCGCCTGGTGGCTCTTCAGAGGCCTTCCCCTTCACTCCTCAGCCCACTGGGTCTCTGCTCAGTCTCGGCTTCCCAGCCAGGCCTTCCCCAGCCCGCCCTTTTAAACAGGAAACCCCCTCTCCCCTTGCTCGGCACTCCCACCCCCTCTTCCTGATTTACTTCTCTCCACAGACTGAGTATCCCTTATCCTTAGGAACTGAAACGTTTCAGATTTTGGGGGGGTATTAGAATATTTACACAGACTTTACCGGCTGAATGCCCCTAATCCAAAAATCCCAGATCTGAAATGTTTCAAAATCAGAAACTTTCTAAGCACTGACACGACACTGCACCTGTACCTAGAACAGGCCAGTGAGCTCTGCCCACAGGCCACTGCTGCCTGGCTGTGTAAACACTCTCTGGGGTCGTGGTCACACTCCTTCCCCTAACCACCAAGACTACTGACTGTGGCTTCAAATGCCTCCTGCTGGTTCTTCAGAGACCGGGTCGAAGACTCCTGATTTAACATGCGGAAGGCAGGAGCCTAAGTGGGCTCACGACCACTTCCATGGCACCAAGCTGGGGAGCCCGGTGCCCGAGGCACTCCCCATAAACACTGTGTCAGCGAGCAGCTCCGACTCCGCATCCTCCTGCACACTGTTCCCCACGCCCTTCCTTCTCGGCTCAGAGGGTCTGATGTGGAGAGTTCCCTGCCTGCCCTCCCCAGGACACAGTCCCTCCTCCTCCTCTCAGGCGACACTGGTGTGCTCTATTCAGTCTCTCCCAACAGACCAAGAGCTTCTGGGAACCAGGATCCTCTTATCTGCCAGAATCACCCTGCTCGGCACACGGCAGGGTGCACGAGGACTGTAGCCTGCGAACACGGAAGGACAGGTGGATCCCCACACTGGCTGCCCAGCGGCAACCCCACCAACCCCTACCTCGTACTCAATGGCGAGGTCCGTGTGGTCATCAATGTCCACCTTGGCCATCACCACCTTCCCGTGCTGCTTGGCCACCATCTTCTCTAACCGTGGCCCTAAGATCTTGCAGGGGCCACACCACCTTGGAAGGCAGGAAAGGAAATTCACAAAGTGGTCCATATTTTAAAAAAGGAAAAAGAAAGGACACACCCTTCAGTCACAAGAACGTTACCACTCCATCCACGGGCTCCCCAGAACCTCCCCTTGGCCCACCTGGACCTTACAGACTTAAAACTCAGGGAGGGAACCAGTAACTTAGTCCCTAAGATAAACCAGTGTCCAAAGAAACTGAGGCCCATGTCAGTGAAGGTTGTGCAGACGACAGAGCCAGTGAGAAGCACAGCCAGGATTATAATCCGAGGTCGTTTCCAAAGTGTTTCCTTTCATTCCCAAGTGACCTCTGGTCTCTGAGCATCCCCAAGTCAACTGCCATTACTACCCTGATCACAACGTACAGGTGATCCCCTCTTGGTGGGGGTTAGGAAGAGCGGAAGAAGCTCTTTCAGGACAAATGCTGTGCTATCATCTCTGTGTACGTGGACCAAGGACAGTGCCTGGCACTGATTACATACATTTGCACCCCTCTTCCTTGTTGAAGAAAAGATTATCTTGATCATTTCAGAAACCCTCTCACTAGACCAGAAGGTAAGAATAACTCCACATGCCCCCACTGACAACTAATTTATTCTTAGCCTTTAAAACCCTTCCATTCAGAGATTCTAATCAATGAAGCTGCAACACTGAAAAGACCCAGTCTGCAAGACCTTATCTCCGATTACAAGAAAAGGAGTACAAGGACAGCACATGGCTGCCCAAGGAGACATGGTGAATCAGAACAAGAACCAGAGAAAAAGAGACATGCCCAGAAAAACCTCACATCTTTCTTTTTTTTTTTTTTTTGGTACTGGGGATTGAACTCGGGGTCACTTGACCACTGAGCCACATCCCAGGCCCTATGCTATATTTTATTTAGAGACAGGGTTTCACTGAGTTGCTTAGCGTTGCTCAGGCTTGCTTTGAACTCATGATCCTCCTGCCTCAGTCTCCAAAGCTGCTGGGATTACAGGTGTGTGCCACTGTGTCTGGCCTAAACCTCCCAACTTCTGACTCAGAGAGTACTCGTTCGTCTCAGGATTCATTTTTCTTTTTTGATACCAGGGACTGAACCAGGGGGCACTTTATGACTGAGCCACATCCCCAGCCTTTTTTTTGGGACAGAGTCTTGCTAAGTTGCTGGGGCCTTGCTAAATTGCTGAGGTTGGCTTTGAATCTGTGAGCCTCCTGCCTCAGTCTCCCAGGATACTGGAATTACATGTGTATACCACTGTGCCGGACTGCCTCCCAGGATTCTGAGAGGTCTAACTTTTTTTTTTAAGCTAGGATCTAGCCAGGTCCCAATGATGTGGAAATGAAAGCCAGGCTAAAAATCAGGCCACAGGCATTTATATCTCTCTAAAACACACTCCTCCTACATGCCTGGACACTGCTATGGTGGCACTGATAACTTTTGTCTGTCCTACCCACAGTTTTAGTGGTGAGATATCAAAGTGAAGTCAAGTTATCTACAGGGCCAAGCACTGGTATACACTGAAAGCCTGGTGATGCTATGTTCATATTTTTTCTGACTCTGGTCCCAGCTGAAGATGAGCTTTTCAGGCAGTGGATACAGAATTTAAGTCTTTCCCAGCACTGTTTACCCTGTCTCCTACCAGATTGGATGCTCTGTATCAGCAAAGACTGTGTACCAGTGTTTATAATGAGTCTAAGTGTAAGAAGCCTTGAACATGGACCTGGGACATAGCAGGCACTCAATAAATACGTGAACAGGTAAGACCCTGGTTGCACTGACCCCCTCCTTGTACTCACTGTGCATGAAAATCCACAACCACTGGTGTCTCACTGTTAACAACTCGGTCTTGGAAGTCAGGTCCATCCTGGACATTAAAGGTTGTCCAACAGACTCTGGTGGTATATATTGTCCGGGCTGGGTTGGGTGTTACTGTCAGGCCACCAGAACAGCATTTGGGGGTCTGCAAGGCCTTGGAGGTGAGGGGTGCCCACCGACCCTGGGGGAGCTTCCTGGAGATGACAGAGGCCAGGAACCTCCTCAGGAGAAGTCGATGAGCCATCTGTGAGGGAAAAAGGCAGGATGATTTGGGGCACACAACAGGAAGTCAACACACTAAGAAGATAAAGGGATCTGGGAATACTGGGGGTTTTAGAAAAATACAGAGGTGGATGAAAAATGCAAGCAAATATATAAGATTTCTGGGGTGGAAGTGAGGAATGAAAATCGAAAGACAGAAAGCAAACCTGAACAGGAAAACCAAGTTGACAACCAAAAAGAAATCAAGATTTAGGTGGAATCAGAAGGTCGAGAGGGGGGAACTTCATTTGCAGAGCACCTGCTGAGGTCAAGTGCACCACTGGTCCTCCCGGATCAACTCTGAGGCAGCTGCCACTTAGTCCTGCCCGATTTCCAGAATCCAACCCGGGTGGGTTACTCGACAGACCCCAAACAACTCAACCATTAAATGACATTCCACGTCGGAACTCACGCCGTCCGTAGAGTTCTTTATCTATTGCTTGCTCTTTTAAAAGAGCATTTGAATGGAAAATTAAGGGGAAAAGGCAAGGTCGAAGGACTGACAAGAAGCCCAACTATTCAGAGGAGGAACTAGGAAACACAGGTGCAGGAGTGCACGGGGAACCAAGACAGAAGGAACAGCTGGAGGGAACCCGAAAGGAGGGACGTGTGTGGAGGAAACTGGGGAAATCGGACGCCGCCAGGGAACTCCCTTTCCGGAGGACCAGGTCTCCCCGTCCGGGACCTCCACCCGCTCTCCACCATCCTGCGCAGGAGCGCGCCTGCGGCGGTCTCTGCCGTAACACTACCTCGAGCCACCCCCGGGCACCTACCTCCCGGCAGCGCGAGCGGAGGGATGCACAGCCCTACCCCCGCCTGTCAAGGGCACGCCTGTCGTCACTTCCTCAGGGGTGGGCCTTTCTAGCGTCACTTCCGGGAACCGCAACCAGGACGCTGTGTCTCTGCAACTTGAGAGATGGCTCGGATTTTCCGCCAATGGGGATGGCAGGGAAAAGGGGCGGAGCCTCAATTAGGAACCGGAAGAGCTCGGCGGACCCGGGTTGGGGACCGGAAAAAGAGGCGGAAGGAGGCGGGGCTAGCGAGGGAGAAAAGGGCGGGAGAAAGGCGTGGTTGTGAAGTTACAAGCTCTCGGTTTCTACTGATTCAGCCGTCTTCCAGCGGTTCCTAGAAGGGCAAAAAAATTCGTTTCTCTCCATTTTACAAAAGCCAAGCTTCTCAAAGTGTAGTGCCTTTAAAGAAAATAGACTCCCTACCCGGAGAGGCCACCCTGTGGCCCTCAGGTCATCCACAGCTGTATGACCTCATGGTTGTGGGCAGGTCACTCTGCCTGTGAGGTTTTCAGTTTCCTATTATGTGACATGAGGGCCTGGGCTTGGCTACTTCCAGGTCCTTAAGCTTGTCTCTTTGGAGCTTTTGGGGAAACAAGCCCTGGTTGGGCTCCAGGTAAAATACAGTGACCTGTGAACCTGCTTGGGCGAGGGGCCTTCCTTTTACACTTATTGCCACTGTCACTTGCAGCGGATGTCTAGGTACCTGTGTGTCCCAGCTGGTATCGTGGCCACTGCTTGTCTTCTCTGCAGTCTGTACCTTGTATTCCAGTCATTTACCGCCTCTTGAAAGAGTCCCGTGAATATACTGATGCCTATTTCCTTTTCTGGTCTTTGCTTAATTTGAAATGCTTTTTTCTCTCTACATTTAGTAGAACCCCCCCTCATCATCTCCGGACAGCATTGCTTCCTTCTCTCTGCTGCTTTGTTGATAATTCTTTGTAACACATTGCGGCATCTGTCTCTTTCACCAGATTCTGTTCTTCCCGAGATTAGGGATTTGTGACTGTAACTGACTTGCATATGGCCAGTGCCAATCTGGTCAAGTTACAACCCCTTGTTAGGTGCAGGACAGGCTGAATAAGTTGTCTGCAGGGCATGCCAAACAAAGTTAGCTGCAGGATGACCTGGCCACTCAAACCCTCTGTCTGGTTCTTTATCACCTGTTTGCTTCAAGCCCAAACCCCCAAGCCCCATTCAAGACTGAACACTCAACTCGCCGCTCAAGGCTGAACACTTAAGCCTCCTTGTGCCAACAGGGCAGCTTGCAGACCCAGATACCCCATTAGATTTGGGCTATAAAAACTCCTTCCTGCCAGGCCCCTCGCTCTCCTGCTCTTGCTCTCTCTGTCTCTCTCTTATGCTCTCTCTCTTTCTCTCTCTTGCTTTTGCTCTCTCCCTCTCCTTCTCTCCTCTTTCCTCTCCTCCCCCCTCTTTCTCCTCTTTTGTACTGCTACAATAAAGCTCTCTTGGTCACTCTGAATGTTGTGGTCACTTTCCTTTCACCCCTGAGGGCTTTGTTTTCCATTATGTGACAGGAGGGTGGGCTTAACTCACAGAGGATATTCAATAGATGCTTACTAAACTGAGTGTCTTTGGTTTATAGTCAGAGAAGTTATGTGACTTGTCCAAGTTGAGAAGCAAGTCAGTTGGCAAGACCTATTGTCTACGTTTATTTCAACCTATACGTCAAGTGTCATCACCTAGTTCCAGAGTTTGCTGAAATGTCTCTCCTGCCCCTGCATTTGCAGTTGTTGCTCACTGTGGCTGGAATGCTTTTTTTATTTTTTAAAAAATTGTCCTAATTAGTTATACATGACAGTAAAATGCATTTTGACATTTTTTTTCTACTCTCCATTTGAGAGACTGCCACTAGATAACAGATGAGGTCTCCTACCTGGCAGCACTTTCCTGGGCTGCCTCGAGGGGGGGGGTAGGTGTCCTCTGTTTCCTCAGTCACCACTGTCAACCCTCTATACTGCCATTGTCTGCTTACTGCTCACCCTCACTCTGCTGTCAGCCCGCCGTCTGCCTCTCTCTCTCCATTGCTTACTTTGGGGCTTTATCACACTCTGGGAGGGCTCAGGGATTATTTGTTCCCATGAACAGAGATCAGTGACCCAAATCAAACCTGACTCTGAAGCCCGTTTTCCCAGAACATTACATGGCTCCATTGTCTCCTTCCAATGTTCCCGTCATTGTTTTGTCATCTTCCAGCTCATCTTGGCTCCATCGTGCTATGACTTGTCCTCTGTCCAATTGGCAGGCTCAGGGCACTGCCAGGGCTCTTCTTCCGGGGTGGGAAGGGAATCCCTGGAACAGGTCCACTTGCCTTGGCCACCGGCTGCCATGTCAGCCTTCCACTTTAAAAAAGTCCTTGTCCACTGCAGGTAGAGACTAGGTCAGGTCTGGGCAGTCATGGCCTGTCCACCCTGTCTGACCTTAGCCTTGGCCCTCACCCAGGCTGAGAGCCATGGTGGGGCTCCCAGCTCCCCTGCTCCTCCTGAGGTCAGCCTCCCTCGCTGCAGCTGTTCCTGATCATGTCGGATGCCATCTGGCAGGGGTGCTCCTACCCTGCCCATTTTCATATCTGCTTTTCTGTTTCTCCAGCACTTTCTGTTCCATAGCCACTTATCAAACCTATTCAGCACTTTCACAGCAGTTTCTAGAGAGTCAAATTCCTTGCTTAACATTCTGAATTCCAAAGCAGTGAAGCCCCACGCTGTTTACCCGAGTTCTGTACTCCTTTTCCTCGGTTGGCCTCAGGCTTCTCATCTGAGAAACAGGAAGGATAGTGCCTCCCTCCAGAGGGGTGGTGAGGCTGTGGGGAGAGCAGAGTACAGGGGCAGGCATGTTGTCAGTGCCACTTGGTGGAGTCCCCTCTCCTCCTCCAGGGAGACAGTGGAGAAGGCTGTGCCCTCAGTAGCCTTCCAGGGTTCCTCAGCTACATGGTAGCTTCTCTGTCAGGCCAGAGCTGACCTGGCCTGGGTGTGGTTGTCACCAGGCAGACTCAGGGCGCAGGTCTGAAGCAACCAGAGGGAGCTGGGGCTGGAGCCTGGAATAAGCTTATTGTGTGTCGGATTGTGAGTTGGGAACCGTCAGTGGGTCTGTGAGATCAGTTTAGTGGGTGGTGATCCGCTGACCTTAGCCTCTGCCCTCACCCAGGCCGAGAGCTATGGTGGGGATGGGAATCTCTGAGTGTGCAGTGATTTAAGTCCTGCTTGGTGAAACACTGGTTGCTTTTATGTCTGTGTGTCCGTATGACCCAGGTTGTGATGTAAAATGCTCTTACTATGGGTAAGATTTGAAAGCTCCTGATACATTGAAGAGTCACCAAACCACCAAGCACCACTCTAGGCTCACTACAGGTATGAGCTCACTGAACCCTAACCTGGGTTAGAACAGCTTCGGGGGAGGAGCTGAGGCACATGCAGGTCCAGTAGCTTGTCCAGGTCACCCAGAGTAGATGGCATAATCTTAAAGGTGCTATACTGCTTCTAGAAGGATGGTCTTGGCTCTAGACTGCTGCCTGGCCTCCCAGCACCCCCAAACCAGCCAGCCACTGTAGCCACAGGAGGACAGTTTGAGGCTCAAACCCAGGAGAGTGCTGGCTGGCAGCAGCCATCAGCAGAGGCACCACACGACGGCAGTGTGGTCCCCAGCCTCCTGTGGGTCAGTGACAGCTCAGTCAGCCTGGGTGGGGGAGGCAACCTGAGAGAAAACGCAGAGAAGGGGACAGTCCATTCCTAAAGTGTCCCCAGAGGATCCCTGTTTTCAGTTTTTGATGGTAATTTTGTGATATTTTTGTGCTGCTGCAGAACAATTAGCATGTGTTTAAGTTTCACAATCCAAGGAACTGGTTTCACATTTGGTTGTGATTCCTGTTCTATCACGTTTCCAGATATTGCACAACTCCCCCCCCCCCAATGCCATGGCTGTGATGGAGGGGGGCAGGCTGCCGCGCTCCTTGCCCACCCCCAGTGGACCCCTGCAGGCTGGGACTAATTCGGGGTCCTGCCCTCTGTGGCACAAGGCTCTCACGTGGTCCTGCCGGGTCAGGAAGGGTGGCTCAGGTTCACTGAACTCTAAGGTGCATTTACTCCAGTGCGGGGTCCTCCAGGCTGCTTCTCAGGTACTGATTCAAGACCTAGGCTTGGAAGCAGGGCTTCAGGCATGTTGGAACTCAGGTCGCTGAACACGTGGTCTTTGGAGATGGCCCTGCATGGAAATCCTGGCTCGGCCACTTACTAGCAGCTTGTTGTAACCTGTCTAAGGCTGAGTTTCCTGGTGTGTGTGGGGGGCTGGCCCTGTGCACCTCATGACCTGTTTACAGATGAGTGCACTGACCGAGAGGTCCAGCGGCCCACCCAGGGCATGTGGCCAGTTGGAGACAGATGAGGCTCACATCCAGATCTCACCACCCGGCCTGTGTTTTGCTGGCTGATCTGCAAGGATGCTATGGGGCTAGGTCTGGGGATATTTACTGTTTATATTTGATATTTTTGCTCAAAGGCCACTGGCAGAAGCATCAATGAAGTACAGGGAATAAAAGTGACTTTTAGCTTCCAGAGATTTTACTCCCTTATTGTAAAATTGAGGCTAATGCCAATGTCCTGGGGCTACTGTGAAGGACTAAGGGGGATGATGCCCATAAAGAGCTCGAGTAAGGGCCCCAAGAGGCCAATGATATGGTTTATTGGGTGCACTGTGCATGGTCAGATGCTCTCTGTCGCACAGTGCTGGGTG